TAATATTCAATGGTGGAGAAATGGTCAATTGTTGAACGTGGGTGGTCGTATCGCCATTGAGAACGAAGGAAGTTTATTGAAAATTTTTGCCGTGAAGGAAACGGACACGGCAAGATACGTTTGCCAAGCGAGAAACTCTAATGGATACGCCGAAACCAGTGCCGATTTGAACGTGGTGGACGAGTCTTATAGCCCCCCTAGGATGACATATGAGCCTCACGATATGGAGGCGGAACCTGGGACCATTATCGAGGTACCTTGCAGAGTGGAAGGGATCCCAAAACCGGTGATACAGTGGAAGAAGGATGGAACAGCTATGGAAGGAGAAAGATTTAAAATATCTCGTGGGGGAAGCTTGTATCTTTACAATGTTACTGCTGGAGACACTGGAAGGTGAATTTGAATATTTTGTTGAGATTTTTTAAGAGAAATGTTTGTTTAAGAGAAATATATTACCATCTAAAAGTTTAAGAAGCAATAAAGAATTTTAAATAAGTCACATATTAAATTTATGTATTTTTTATAATTAAAATTAGCTGAATAATAAAAAAATATATTGAAAAAAAGATGATAACAAAATCTTAATATCTTTATTTTTTAATTATTTATTAATTTTTTAATTTCTTATTATATTTAAAGTAATTGTCAATGTCAATAAACAATTTTTTATTTCGTACAAAAATATTATTGCTTTTAAACTTTTGTACGGTAATGTATAAATGAAAGAAGTCGAAAAATGAAATTTTAACTATAAATCTTAATAGTAATAATAATAAATACAAATTATATAATTTGTCTTAAGTTAATTTTTATTCAATGCATCCTCTAATTGAATTTTTTTCCCTTATCTTCTATGATCAGACATTGAAACTTGAAATATTGAATAATAAGAAAAAAGTTTTTAAAGTATAATAAATTTTTAAAATCAAACAAAATTAGGTATGAATGTTCGGCTGTGAATCAATATGGCCGTGCAACTGCTCAAGCTTTGGTGCGTGTTCGCCAACCAGAAGCAACAGATGTGCTGGTAGTAAGAGCTTTTAAGGACGCCACAGAAGAGATCGATCGAGCTATAAACAACACTTTGATGGATCTTTTTAATGGTGACAGACCTCAACACGTGAATCCATTTAGACTTGCACGTTTCCCAGATGCTGTTGGTCGTGCGGCTGCCAGACCAGCAGAAATTTTTGAAAGAACACTTGTTAATATACGACGAATGGTAAATTCTGGCTTGAGCGCAAACACTACCACTGAATTTCGTTACGAAGAAATTCTGACAGCAGAACAGGTATGTTCTTTGAATTAATTATTTAATTAAAATAATTTTGTTATCTTAAGTTAATATAAATATGATAAGGATCAAATTTATGTAGTTTTCAATTTAATATTACTATCTAAAAAATAATTTCTCTTCAAAAAATGATATCAATTAGTAATAATCACTATTAACATGTATTATTTTACTTAAAGACAATGAAAAAAAAAGAAAAAATTGATATAAAGTCATATTGAAATCATATTACTTATTGATTCATATTAAATTTTTTTATTTAAAAACGTTTTAGCAAATTTTATTAATTTTTTTTCTAGAGAATAATTTTTTTCAGAATAAATAAAAAAAAAATTCTGCAATTTTATTATAGGTCAGAGAAATCGAAAGATTATCCGGATGTACTGGTCACAGGCATCGTCAGAATTGCACGAATATGTGCTATCACAATAAATACCGCAGCATTGATGGTAGTTGTAACAATCTACGCCATCCCACTTGGGGTTCCTCTTATACTGGTTTTCGTAGAGTTTTACAACCAATTTATGAAAATGGATTTTCATCACCAGTCGGTTGGGAGAAAGGTCGCCTTTATTATAGATATCCGAAACCTTCGGCACGTTTAATCTCCACAACTCTGATAGCCACTCACAAAGTGACTTCAGACAATGGGATAACACATATGGTGATGCAATGGGGTCAATTTCTAGATCATGACTTAGATCATGCTCTTCCAGCAGTTTCCAGCGAATCTTGGGATGGTATAGACTGCAAAAAATCTTGTGATAATGCTGCACCTTGTTTCCCCATGGACGTTCCCCGTAATGATCCCAGAGTTAATAATAGAAGATGCATTGATTTTATTAGGACTAGTGCAGTTTGCGGTTCAGGTGCAACTAGTATATTATGGGGTAGTTTTACCCCTCGAGAACAATTAAATCAATTAACTAGTTACATGGATGCTTCTCAAGTATATGGTTATGATGATACTTTAGCCAGAGATCTGCGTGATCTCACTACTGATCATGGTTTATTACGAGAGGGACCAACAATTCCTGGTCATAAGCCTCTACTTCCATATGCTTCTGGTCAATTCGTTGATTGCAGAAGAAATCCTATAGAAAGCACTATCAATTGCTTCGTAGCCGGAGATATCAGAGCCAATGAACAAATAGGTCTTTTGGCGATGCATACAATATGGCTGCGTGAACATAATCGCATAGCTCGTTCCTTACGTGATATGAATCCTCAGTGGAATGGAGAAAAATTGTATCAGGAGGCCAGAAAAATCGTTGGCGCCGAAATGCAGCATATCACTTATCAACAATGGATTCCTCATGTGTTTGATGGTACTGCTGAAGAACTTTTAGGTTCATATCGTGGTTATGACCCTAATCTTGATGCTAGTGTTTCCAATGTTTTTGCCACTGCGGCTTTGAGATTTGGTCATACTTTGATTCAACCTCGATTGGAACGTTTTAACGAATCTTTTCAATCAATTCCTCAAGGTCCTCTTAAGCTAAGAGACGCCTTCTTCTCACCTTGGAGATTGGTTGAAGAAGGTGGCGTAGATCCATTGATGAGAGGAATGTTTGCCACTGCAGCGAAACTAAAATTACCAGAAGAAAATTTGAATACAGAACTTACAGAACAATTATTTCGTACTGCTCATGCAGTTGCATTGGATTTAGCTGCAATGAATATCCAACGTGGTAGGGATCATGCTCTACCAGGTTACTTGGAATGGCGACGATTCTGCAATATGTCTCATGTAGAGACGTTTGAGGATCTCTCTGGTGAAATTCGTAGCGCTAAGGTTAGACAAAAGTTAAGAGAATTGTACGGTCATCCTGGGAACATAGATGTTTGGGTTGGTGGAGTATTAGAGGATCAACTCCCTAATGCAAAAGTAGGACCACTTTTCAAATGTCTTTTATTAGAACAATTTCGACGTACTAGAAATGGTGATAGATTTTGGTATGAGAATCCAATTGTTTTTAAACCAGAGCAACTCGCTCAAATTAAACAGACGAGTTTAGCTAGAATTCTATGTGATAATGGTGACAATATTAACAGAATTCAACCAAATGTATTCTTATTGCCAGAAGGTGATAATAAATTCGTTACTTGTGATGAAATTCCATACATGGATTTAAGAGTTTGGTCTGAATGTTGTGATGGATGTGAAGATCATAGTAATACGATTTCGAGATTTAGGCGTGCAATCAAATATTTGCCATCGAAAAACATTTTTAATCTGAAGAATATAAATGCAGAGAGTTATAGCGAAAAACTTGAATATTTAGAGAAAAAAATCGAAGAAACGGAGCAAGAATCTAAAAGAATTAGAGATCTTGCAGAATCTTTGTCTTATATGATAAAAGAATTGAAATCTCTTTTAGAGAACGTAAAAAGATCGAAGTAAATCAATAGATGTGCCATTGTTTCAATAGGCATTTGATTTTATTATTTTATATCTAAATTCACTTCATTTTAAATATTCATTTTAAATATTGCATTATTACATCATTGTACATATCTGAAGCCTGATTGAATTTAAGAAAATTAAATCTTTATTGCTTTTATCATCGGATTTGAATTTGTTATTTAAGTGTTTATTATTATCTCTAGTCTTATATACTTTAGTACTAAAGTACTTTTAATATTAAAAAGAGCTTAATGATATTTATATAAGCAATAGAGCTTAT